CCCAACCCCTCAGGGCAGGAACCAACCTGCTCACGCTTCTCCTCTTATGAATAATATGTCCACTTCTTTCTGCTCCTCCCTCCCCATCTACAGTAGTTATGGGCCTCATTGCTGTGGTACTTGAGCACCTTCTTCTTCAATGCTTAGCCGAATGGTCAGCCATAGCGATCGTTCGCCATTTGAGCCGTTCCTGTGCAGCCGCAAGGGATTGACGGCCCGAGAGTCCAGCATTGGAGCAGACTTGATGGACACAAGAGCGAACGATTGGCCCAAAGAATACCTTGTCCTACTGGCAGGAGATGGAGGCGCAGTAACGCAAACCTTTTCCTGGATCTGCCCGTACTGGCTTCACGCTATGCGGCCCAAGCCACTGAGTCTTTCTCAGTGACTTCCTTCACCTCGGGTAGGTAGGTGTTGCTGCTGCCCTGCATCTTTGCCGCTTGAGCACCACCCCTCATTAATATATTTATTCTCCCAGACTCCCTGTGAAGAAGGGAAGGGCTAACATCCCTATTTTACAGAAGGGGAACTCAGGCACTGGGGCCCAGTCTCTCAAAGGGATTTAGGCTCCTGAAATCAATGGAAGCTAGGAGCTTAAATACCTTTTGAGGCTCTGGGCCAGCAAGGCTAAGCAACCTGCCTGAGGTAACACAGGAAGTCTGTGGTAGGGCAGGAAATTGAACCCAGGTCTTCCTAATCAGTGGACCATCCTCCCTCTCCTCCTCTTTATCCCCGTACTCCCAGGTCTGGGGGGTGTAAGACCAAGAAGTCTCTGGTGGAGCTTCAGCCTGGGCTTGGAACTGGGGTGATGAAGAAGAGCCCCCCAGGGTGCAGGAGGGACAGAGGTGTGCTCGGGAACAAGGGGTAGATATGGGGATGAGGGATGCAAAATTAACTGATATGGGGCTGGAGGCGCATGCAGAATTAATTAATTGGTGCTGGATGCCCCTGGACAATCAGGAAGCTCCTTATGCAACTGGGTGTAATTTTATCACCAGATTTTGGCAGCTATGATCTATCCAATGCCCACCATTCTTCACTCATCGTCCATGACTTCAGTAACTCAGCCAGAGGTTGTGGGTCTACTCCAGGAGTGGATGGGTGAGACTCTGGGGCCTGCAATGTGCAGGAGGTCAGACTAGATGATCACAATGGTCCCTTCTGACCTAAAAGTCTCTGAGGCCTGCTGGACTGATGCTACTTATCCAAGAGAGCTATTGAGAAAGCAAAGGACTGGAACTATGGGGAATGGAATAGTTTAAATCCTGTTACATTTTTCACAGCAAGTGGCAGGTGAGTGCTTGTGTTATCCATGAAATAATTATGTTAAGAGCCCACCCAGCCAAGTGGCACATAGAAACTTCTGTATTGTGAATGCACAGAAGTATGTATGGGAAGCCCTTTGGGCACTAATGAATTCCCAAGGGGATGAGAGTTATTCCTGTCTCTGGTGCTGGGTGGGTCTTGGGTTGTCAGAATGTCTTTGGCTACTGAGTTTGAAGCTTTGTCAGCTGAAGATTGGAGATGAAGAGGTGAAAGATACTGAGAAAAAAAGACCAGCATAACACCAGAGGGTAGAAAAGTGTGAATTGTATATCAATATGGGTCTGTCCTATATCTATCCATCTATCATATCACTTACAGAGTGCCCAACCACTGTCATAACTACGGTCCAAATGTGTGTGGTTTTTTAAATTATTATTATTTTTTTAACAGGAGCTCAGTGTTACTCATTGGCTTTCCCTCCTGCAGAGCTACAGGTTTAAAAGGTCAGGACTGTTTGTGTAGGAACATGTCAGAGCTGAATGACTGAAGCGTGTTTGCAGCCATAGCCGTGTGCGATACTGTCAGGCTGTAACACTATATTACAGTGTTGCTTGAAATAATCTCACTTGTGGAACTTTAGCACCAATATTTTCAAAGAGCTGCATACAAATTTAGCCTCACTATTGTCCTGAATGACTCACATTGGTTGGAATGATTTGCTGATTTGAATGGGTACAGTCTGTACCTAAATCTTGCAAGCTGAATGAAAATTAAAAGGTAGATGGTTAACCGAAAAGAAAGGCAAAAAAGAAAGAAAGTGGAAAGGGGGCTTACTGAGAGACAGGAAGTGCTACCACTATGATCTGTGCTAAGCAACAATAGGATATACCCAGCCTGTTCCTATTCTCAGGCTCTATTTCTGGCTGGGGGAGGAGAGGGGGATGTGGGGAGGGGCATTTCTGTAAACCTGATCATTTGTGTTGTCACTAGACCCCTTGAGGGAGATAGTCGTACACCGTACAGGTATGTGGGTGTGCAGATTTATACAGACAGTGCAGACACTAGGCCAGATGCTGATCTCAGTTACACCAGTTGCTCTGTTGACCACAGTAGAGTTGCTCTGGATTTACACCGGTGTAACTGAGATCAGAGTCCAGCCCACAAATAAACCTGCAGCCCTTACTCGCTGGGTAATTCTCATTCATGAGCAGTCCACTTGACTTCAGTGAGTCTTACTGGCATTACTAAAGGATCTGGGCCATGGACTGCCATTGTGACTTTTGATGAGGCTCTATTCCGGAGCAGTTTGAAAGGGTGTCATACTTGAATCTCCAAGACAACACAGCGCCTGCTTCTAGTCTCACTTGCACCAGGGTAATTCAATGGATTTTCAGCAGAGTAACTCTGGATTAACACTGATGTTACTATTAAGTGAGAGGAGAATTGGGCCCACAGTAGCCTTCTAGGGAGACCACTCCTGCAACCTCATGGACAATTGTTTCACAGACGGATTGTTTAGTCGGTATCTGCCTGATGAAGTTAATTGACAATAGAATGGGACATGATAGCTTTTGTTCCTTGGGATCCCCCCATTAATGGAGTGAGAGCTGCACAGCTCTGTAGCTCTCCTGGGCCCCAGATGTTAGCCCTCTCTGGGCTGGGCTGCAGTGGGAAATTACATCGGCATTGCTACATCTCTCAGAGGTGTGAACAATCCGCACACCGAGAGATGTAGCTATGCTGACCTAGCCCGACAGAATAATTCTTCCATTGCCCTAGCTACCACCTCTCAGGGAGGTGGGTTACCTGTGCGGACAGGAGAACCTATTGGCAGAGGCGGGGTCTACACTGAAGCACTACAGCTCCCTCATTTGTTTTGGTCTTTGGATGAAAGCTTCTCTCCAGAAACCCCATGAACGGAGTGGGCCGGGGGGGCTAACCAGTCTCGGAGTTCAGAGGAGTCGTCCCTGTCTCATTCGTTGGGGGCCGTGCTACAGCCCCAGTTCAGCCAAGCACGTCAGCGCTTGCTTAACTTTAAGCACTTTCTCAAAGTTTCTACATTAATTAATGTGTTTCAAAATTTCCTGTGAAAATGAATTGGCATTTTTCGACCCGTTCTAATGAGAGCATTATATAATATATATCCCCAGGGCTTAAATTCAGGTAAATATTTTCAAACCCACGAGGCAGAAGCCCCGAGCCCTGGCGTACCCTGGGGGGCTGAAGCCCTGAGCTCTAGCGCCTCCCATGGGGGGGCTCTGGGAAATACTCTCTGAGAATGTAAGCCCTGTATATCCATAGATAGCATGGGGTGGGGGATGTGTCTTTTAGCATGATAGTGCTTCAGGCAGGGATTGATTCTGTGTGGGTACAGTGCCCTGCATGATGCGGCCAGCCTTTGGGCTCTGCAGTAGTTAATAATAACGAATATCTGTGAGTCAGAGCAGGGTGGAAGTAGGGCATGAGCATATCGCATACAGAGAATCTTTTTTATTGCTTTCCTCTTTACAGCCATTTGTGTGATGTAAACATCAGGCAGAAAGGGCTTCTCCAGACAAGCGCCTGTTTAATTCATTTTCTATGATGTTCTTAACATGGGATGGGCTGATATTCATCATTAGCTCCAGGTAATACAGATTTTGCGAACATGAATGTGACCCTCCAGGCCCTGGGAAATTCCCTGCCTTAAACTGAAAGGGGATTTTTATCTGCACAAGCCCTTTGCCAGGGGATGTGGGTGTCTGTGGAATGCATTGTAGTCAGTAAAGGATTTGCACCATGGTGCAATCAATACCTACCCTGGACTCTCTTCCATAAGGATATGGAGGTGCTACATGCATCCATCAGGGAGGAGATCTCACGCAGTGTGTACCTGTTTTTCTACATATATGAGGAGGTCTGTTCTCCCATGGCTGTGCAGAGTTTTACATAAGTCAGTTTCATTGACATTAGTGTTAACCTTTCATATAAATGTGTGTATCTCTGTTTGGAATGGGAAGAGCAGTTTTCCCTTATATGTCTCCGATCCAAATATTAACCAACCCTGAGTCTGCTTAGCTTAAGAGATGTGGTAAGATCACACCCACAGATAGTATGGCTGCAATGTTTGGACATTGTATGACTGTATATGCAGTGTGTTTGTTTTTGTACCGTATATATTTGTATGTTCAGCACATGTGCAAATACATTAGCTGCACTGTGTCCTTGCATGTACAGCCTGTTTGCATGTGCTGTGAGTGTTTATGTACAGCATGTGCATATGTCTATGTGTGTGAGTTTATCTGCAGCCTGCATGTACATGATACATGGGTTTGTAAATGCAGCATGTGAACATGGTATTATCTGCTGTGTACACACATTTGCATGTGTGTGCAGGTCTCCTCCCCCAAAGGTGCGTAAGTACATAAATGTGTAGATGAATTCCCACTGGCTGTGTGATGCTCCAGTGGAACGGGAGGGAGGCTTTGCATTCCTGTCCACTCTACCACACCGTGGGGGCAAACCTGCATTGAATTGGCTTCTCGCTGATGAGAACCATTTCTTCCCGGCTGCCTTTGGGCCTGATCCTCAGAGAGGCTGAGCACAGCCAGCTGCTATTGACATCAATGGGCACGCAAGCTGCTCAACCCCTCCCAAAATCAGGTCCTTGGCACCTAGCCCATCCAGCCCACACGCACAGAGGGGTCTAAGGACACAATGAATTAGCTGAGGCAAAGAAGACATTAGTGCACAAGTGACATATCTCAATATAATTTCTAAAACTCTATGAATTGGACAGATAAAATACTTCTGGTCTATTTTTGTTACAAAATATTAGCCATTTGGATTCTTTGCTAGGTGTGACCACACCGCTGTTCCCAAAGGAAGCTGCTCGGAAGGATATTTACAGCAGGAAACAGAGACAGACAGACAGGTGCTCTCAAAAGCCTACACATAGGTAACATTTGTGTTTTTAAAAAAGAAACATTCAGATGGGATGTGCCGTGTGGCGAAGGTGTGAGACCCTGATGCCGTAAAAGCCGCTGTCCCAGGCGTGGCTGCTGAAAAGCGGTCCGGAGAAAATGGGCTAGAGCCTTTAGACAATTACAAATAGATCCCAAGAAACATTTCTGGCAGCTCCAGGCTCCTGTCCTTAGCATGAGCTGCTAGAGCAGCGGGCGCAGCATAAGCTAAGTCAGCAAAGAAGTCTGATTTGCATTCCCCATTTCAAAGCAGAGATTCTCCCAAGTAGCAGCTCGTGGCAGCCAGGACTGAACTGTGTTTTAGAAGCCCCACAAACATATGACAATAATTCCAGATTGAGCCTTCTAAAAAATACTCAAGTATTCTAGACCAATAGCCCCAAAACACTGCAGAACATGGTTGAGTTTTTGAAGAAGGGGATTTGGAGTCAGTTAGCTTCCACTTTACGACCAAACACATAAAGGGTAACAATGGATGCTGTGGAATTCCTTCTGGGATTTATGAAAATCCATATTAAAAAAATACTGTAGTATTGTACAGCCATGGCCCAAATCCTCTTGTATCTGCTGGCCTGATTCTCCCCTCTCTCTCTTTCATACCAGTGTTGCCCTGGGGTAACAGCCAACATTACTGATAATTTACACAAGTGTAAGAGAAGAATCAAGACCAGAGAGAGACATCTTCTGGGCTAATGTAAAGGGACAGAGTGCCTTCCACTTTGTTTTTACCCCAGAGGAGGTTTTTTGCTCCTTGTGTGCTGGACCATTACTGTTCAATGCTGTGTTGTTTGTTTAATATGCGATGATCTGAATGCAGCAGCAAATCATCACTTCAGTTTGGCTTATCTAATTTCTGCAGCAGGCGCCTGCCTGATCTCACAATCCAAAATCTCCTGCCAGTCTCACAGTCAGAAAAACCATTGTGTGTGGGCTGGTGATTTTCTTTGGGCCACGTTTCTCACAGCAAGGGGTGGATTGTTTCTTGCTTTTCCCCAGGCCTTTCGCTAAAATGTTTGTTCAATCTCTTTGTCTAACGGCACCCTGCAAGTGATCAGGTTATGTGCAGTGGTGTCTACTTGCAGAATTATAAGTATACTGAGTGTGTGTGTGTGTGTCTGTCCATCTGTGGATGGGGAGTAGTGGGGCACAGGAGTACAATAGGCCAGATGGTGTATATACACATTTTAAAGTGCTTGTAACTCTCTTAGATGAACCCAAAGGAAAATCAGCAGAGGGTCTCTGGTCACAGTCCCAGAGGGCTCCACTACACAATGGATTTTAAGCAACCCCTTCTACTAAAGGAAAATCCTGGAATAAACCAAATAACCCTTGCCAATTAACCTTCACGGAAACAGGCTGCATGTCCAGCAGTGTAGAAGCCAACTAGAGGAGTTGGTATGGTATGTGATTGCTTCCCTGACCAAATTTCCATACCAGAAGCAGTCTTTGGTAGGTCAGGGAAGTGGAGCTCCCTCACCCTACTACACCCCTTCACCCCATGTATTGATCAATCCTAGCCCTACTGTTAGCTTGCTTCTGGATTCTCTGTAACTTGAAGCCTTTAAATCAAGATTTGAAGAGTTCTATAACTCAGCCTGAGGTTACAGGCCTAGTGCAGGAGTGGGTGGGTGAGGGTCTGTGGCCTGTGATGCGCAGGCCAGACTAGATGATCATGATGGTCCCTTCTGACCGTAAAGCCTATGAACTGAGGTGTCCTTTATCCAGTGTTAAGGGGGTGGGGGGAAGGACTCAGGAAAGCTTCCTGCTTTATATGTTGTCTTAACTTCGCCAATTAATTATTAATAATGCAAATCTCTCTTCTAGGAACTTCACCTTGCTA